CTCTCTCTCTCTTACTCGGGTTAATTCCTACTAACACACATCACAGACGGCACAGCTCAAGCCCATTTCCATTCCACTAAAGACAGACATATTCTTTCCCGTAGAGACCCAGCAGTATCTCACGCCATAGAATGCTTCCAGAATGTTAGCTAGCGTTCTTCCGTCCCGGATTTAAACGACTAGACCAAGTTGGCTTCCCTAGCGACGTGTCCATTTAGCCTCAATTACAGTTTCTCAAGGGACACCGTCTCTGATAATATTTGGGAATAGGAAACGTTTTTAGTAAAAGGGGATTCCCACGAATGTGTGTCAGTTTAAGCAGGGTTTCAGTCCACTTTGGCTGGCTAATTTATATTTTTACTAGTACCCGTGTGGTATAGGTTCCACAAAAACGATGATTTAAATGAAAGTTTCATTAAGATTTATGTCACCCTAGAGTAAATACAAATGTGATTACGTAGTGTGTGTATTCAGGTCCGCTAACTCTGCGATTGTTCACTCGGTGATTAAACGCGAAAGCCGCAGATAATCTGTAGCGATCGCCACAGACTCCCGCGAGAAGCGGCATGTGGGTATCGATACGATTCGCGCCCAAGGGAACGAGCAGACGGATTGATCTCATTGGCTAAACAGGATCGAATTCGCTTTAGTGACACTAATTACCACGGTGTGAAATGCTTTTAAAACTCGATAGCTCTGCTCAGCCGTTCGATATAGAGGGGGGTTACCTTTTGTTTTGTTTTGTTTTGTTTCGGTGTTTTTTTCTTGTTACCTAGCATTGTTAACTCTTTCTAGTTTTCATTGATTTTGGTGTATTTCTTCATGGAATTCTGGTTCTTTTACTTTCGTGGACAATCCTGGCTTCTGTTTTTCACACTAATCTCAACATCACGGATTGATCTAGCTACGCTTTTAGCCTTTATATAAGCCAACTGTGAGAGAAACGGTCTTGTTGACAATGATAGTAGAAGCAAAGCAGAAAACCCCGATTACTTGTAATTAGCAATTGGTTTCATTTTTTATCTTCTTCAGAATCTCCCACGCCGCCACAGAACTCGGGAGAGTGTCAAGTTTCTGGGATTGATTCTGATTGCAGTTTTCAAATTGAGGTACGTACCATCTTTATTTACGTAAATCTTTATACATTGTACATTGCTTTTGAACTGGCTTCTGTAGTGTAGTGATTATATAGCGCTTCGCCGCCCCACGCAGAAGACCCGAGTTCGATTCCCGTGTGGGGTAAGTTTTATCGAATATCCCGGTCTTTCTGATGGGACGTTGTATCCCTCTCAACCCACATTGGCTCTGACAATCAGGGATGATGCCTGCCTCCCATATTATCTAAATTGTATTGATGAGGGCATTATGATATAAACATCTGCAATAAAATACATACATACATATTTACATTTCTTTTGCGGGAGATTTATGCTGTTAGTGTGTGTTCTTTCTACATCAGCCATACCCAAACAAAATCGATCAATAATAGAATTTTGCTTTCGTTACCACATACTTTGTGTTTTTTGCGATTGTTTATGTGTGAATGTGAGTCTGTATTTGGGCATGTGTGTGTGGGTGCGCTCATGTGTCTTTAAATTTGTAGGTGTGCACTTCATTGTTTTTACATGTATGTCGATATTACGTACGTATCTGTGTATATATATAATACACGAATACATGGCATATCTCTCTCTTTCTCTCTCTCTCTCTCTCTCTCTCTCTCT